AAAAGCATGCTGATGTTCACAACAACAGCCTCCACCTCTGAGGGTAGATCTGAGGACAGCGGCAGGAATTAGCATTTTGCTCCATCCTTTATCTCCTCGGTAATCCATTAATTCAGTCCTCCTTTTATTGTTGCCATTCAGGCGCAGTGTTTAAAAGGAAAATAGCTGCTGATTAAAAGTTCTCCGAAACACACCACTGTTCGCTGCGTTGTCTTTAATTAAATTCTGTCGGCACCGACTCGGAGCCGCGGCTGCAGGGTGAAGTGTGCTCTTTGTTCACCTTAAAGCCTTAGAGAAAGAAACACAGCCAGGGACCATAATACAGACTTCACCAGACTCTGGGAGAACAAGGCAGCAGCCTGATGATCATTTCACCGCCAACTCAGGGCCCATTCATAATAAATGACATCAGACCGTTCCACTATGAAGGGCTTTATTTCCCTCCCTCCACATTAATTTAGAGGTAATCATCCCAAAGAAATCTTAATAAAAGGATATGTCACCTTTGAGAGACACCTGCTACTGGTGGAATGTGGAAACACGTTCACTGACAAGGATTTTATTATGACTTTACACAGCAGCATAATGGAATCAATGGAGATCTAATTAAAACTTGGATTTGTAAACTTCATTGGATTTAACTGACAAGGGCATTTATACACTATGCTTGTAAGCTAGAGTGGTGCAGCGCTAGGACTGCGGTCTAACAGGGCAAACGAGATAGATGCTAAAAAACAAAACAAAACACATCAAACTCCTGTACCGCATCACTGGATCATCGCTTCATTCACCCCTGACGCAGTGAAACACTGTCAATAATGTAGTGAAACAAGCCAATGACAGTCTCACAACGTACCACCTCCTGGCCAACTTTGGCCCATGCCTTTTTTTTATTATGGTCCCAATAAAACATAGCCACGGTGTGGGTGCCCACACACATGGCGATGATAAGCCAGCCAATGTGGATTTGATGTCGTGGTGCGATGCTGCCTGAAAATTTGGTAATAAAACAACCCAAAAGGTTCCAGGTTTGATACCACCTAGGGCTCGAATCCTAAAGTTGGTTTGTGGTCAATTTCGAGTGAACAGTTAACTAGATCCTGCAGTGGGAGGAAACCAGATGACCCTGAGAGAACCCCTACACAGACGGGGGAGAACAGAAAGACTCCATTCATTGTTACCACTGGGGCTTGAACTGATGACCCTCTTACCCAACATTCCACTGTACACCCCCAGTGGAGATACAGATATTGATCAAATTACCTGGTAATTAAAATTCACAGTTAATTACCAAGTATAATTGTGTAGCGTGGGTGTTTTGTTTGAGCCAGTGTGCATAGCAAGGGGGTTCGATTCCACCTAGTCTTTGAATCCCTGGGTGCTGGCTGCTAGGTGGGGTTACCAGCACGCGGTCTGGACCACATTTGTGCATGTGCAGGGTTGTCTTTTCCCAGGACCTGGCTGCTAGGTGGGGTTACCAGCACGGGGTCTGGACCACATTTGTGCATAGTTTTAGGGGCGAACTCCCAGTGTGGTGTGACTGACAGCGTGGTGTGATTGACAGGCTGCCAGTCAACTAACACCATCACTAACACATACAGCACATTTGAATGCAATAAGAGAGGAAGTCAACAGTGTTCCTAATTTATTTGGAGGCAGCGGGAGACTCTGTTGTTGCTGCAGTGTTTGAGTGTTGTTCAGGAGACAGCTGCGCCCGCTGGGACACACACACACACACACAGAAATAGAGAGACTGATGATGATATATACCTTGGGTGTACTGAGGAGTCTCCTCAGCAATACATTACATACCAAGAGTGCACAGTGACTCAGGCTGACACAGCAGGGTGTGCAAAAACGAAGGAAAGCACTCGCCGCTCCCACTGCACCACAATTCCTCCTCTGTCAAAAAAAGTGCTGCTCTGCAGATTTGATTTAGTTTGCAAAGACTTCCAGGTCCTCTGTTGTCTTAGCATGGTCTGTCAGCGGCTCGCAACCTTGAGCGTTCCGGCTCTGTGTTTTCATCCCTCCGTCTTCTGCCTCCAGGGGTGAATAATTGTCGTTCACGTTGAGTTGAATGTGTTGAAGTTGGAACGCACATGCAGACGTTTCTTGTGGAATAGTAATTGAAATGATAATATGAAATATAGAGACGGAGGGAATCCAAACGTGTTTTGTTTGGGAAATTTTAGGTAGACGTTCTTTTTTAATACAAATACATCAGGATCCTCAGTGACCGCGGCTGCAGGCCAGGTTTCCAAATCTCCCTTGTTTTTCTCTGAAATCTTTTGAGCAGTGTCCATTGCATTATAAAAAATACATGTTTTCTTGCTTGGGGTCGGACTCGCTGCTTGAATCTAAATATGACCACAGAACCTTTGGTTTTTGTCCTCATTAAACATTCAGTCATTTTCTATAACATGAAACGCATTGTTTAAAAAAACATTCTGTTTTCTGTGCCTTGTTGTAGAAAAAAAAGGGATTTTGTGCAGGGTGTAGGTGAAGGCGTTTCATATTTTATTACCAGTGTGGTAGAACATAAACGTATCTGATCTGTTTTTGTTCACTGTGAATTATTGTTTTCATTATCAAGGAACATGTTTTTTTTTTATTCACACCAGGATTGGGACTGTCATGACATATTACCTTGTCGTTACATTTGCCCACAGTATATGAACTCATTACGTTTTGATGATATATGACAGCTTTGCTGGTTTGTTTTGGGGTTGACCCTAACTCTACACAGTTGCTAAAATATTCCAGATAACCCTTTATTTTGGTCGTTAGCATCACAGATCAGGTAGATCGGAGATTTAGTATTCGGAGATAACTAAAAATACATTTTCTGACGTGTGATTGCTATTTGATAAAATCCTCCTCAGGTTATTGACATGTTATACAGCATGGACCAGTGATAGTAGAAGGAGAATTTGGCCATGAAGCAGGATTATTTGTCTCCTGAGTGACAGCTCACACACGAATCGCAGGTCAGGTTTAACAGCCTCAAAAATGGCACTGAAGGAAAAATCCTGTCAAATAGGATTAAGAGCTTGGTTTTAAAAGCAACTGTTTTTCTCCTGATATGATGTGAGCGAGTCACTCCAGCTGTTCCAGCCGTGCTCCTGCAGAGCTGTGTTTCCAACGTTCTCGCTCCATTGTACCTGACTTTTTATTTTATTTTATTTTTCACTTTGAATAACGCTTCAAGACAAGACTCTGTGACAGGTTGTCTTCTCGTATAAGGACTACAAATACATCATACACGCTACGTAGTGATTCCACTAAATCACCGTCACGTAGTTCATTGGCCACAGATACCAGACCAGTTACAGCACAACACCGACCACGAGCGATGGATGAGGCTGCTGCGGCAGATTAAATTTGTGTCAGACTGCATTCAGTGCACCTTGACACACTGCACACTGACAGCCAATGGCCTGGAGGGGGCCATGTCAGCAGGCTAACTCACTGCTCTATATAAAAATGTATCTGCAAAAGCATAGGACTAATATAAAACACGGTGCAGTGATTTGCAGCAACTCAACCCTTAATGAGCAACAGGGCATCATGGGAACACCGTCGGAATGACGCGGTGGAATTTTAATCGGAACAGAAACAGAACCAGTGCTGGAAAATAGGACATTTCCTGAGTTAAAAAACAACGATGTAATAAACATCGGAGTTGACGAGTATGTTTTTCTTTATGTAAATTTAAGTTTATTGTTACTGCAAAACAAATCTATATCAAGGATAAACCTGGTCCAGAAAGTTCTCCACAGTAACCTTGGAGGTGTTGCATACCTAATACTTAGTTGTACTATATTTGTATCACATTGAATCTCCCAGTAATGCTTTGCAAACAGTTGGAAATTCGATCACAACTTTTCTCTTTTTTAACTGGAGTTCATGTAAATATTTAAATTGTGCGATTGGGGAGCACTTCTATTTTGGGATTGCAGTTGGGATGTTTAACCCTGGGGTATTTTGACCAAAGGATGTTACAGACTTGAAAAGGGGTATAATAAGTTA